TAGTTTGACAGCCCTCAACCAATGAATGAGCAGCTCTGTCGGTGGCCGTCCATCATTAAAATGGATTTTGTTAACAAGTGACAGCTCTTGGGTCTCTGAATCAGCATAATATGGGCTCTAGTGTTGATTACGTATATATATACGCTCTCCAGGCTCGGCTTCTCCTCAGACGACTGGACGATCTGAAAGATGGAACCGAGTCGACGCGTGAGTCCATGGAGATCAACGAGGCCGACTTCAGGTGGCAGAGACACATCCTGTCCTCAGAGCAGCCTCCGTGGGACCCCAGCTCTTCTTCCTCCAACGTGGCCACCACCGGCACCGCTGAGCGTAGCCCCGACATCAGCATCAGCATCACCACGGAAACGGGCCAAACCACCCTGGATTTAGAGGTGGGAGAGCTCGGCCACGCTGTGGGCCACACCAGTCCGGAGGAGTGTGGAGAGGACGCTCGGCTCCCTTCGCCTTCTTTCTGCGGCGATCAGGAGGAAACCAAACACGAGCCGATGCCCGGGTCCGACCAGGGAGGCCAGAAGGAGGAAGGAGGGGTGCCCACAGGGGAGGTGGAGGGAAGAGGAGAGAAAGAAAGAGGTGGAGGCGGAGAGAGAGGAGGTGCAGTTCCTCCAGATGTGGTGCAAAGGAGTCACGCCCTCGTCTACCCCGACATCACGAACTTCCTGTCTGTGGAATCCAGGTCTCGGTCGCACCACGGAGGAGGGTCACGATACAGCGAGAGCAACTTCAGGTACTGCTGCTTCTCTGGCTGCTGAATTGAAATTATGATAAATAGTAATTAAGTAAAGAAAGAATATATAAATAATAAAAACAATCTCATGCCCACCAGCATGGAGGAGCAGGACCTGTCACGGACAGAGTTTGACTCGTGCGATCAGTACTCCATGGCTGCTGAGAAAGACTCTGGCCGCTCTGACGTCTCCGACATCGGGTCCGACAACGTGTCGCTGGCCGACGAGGACCAGCAGTTGTCCCGCGACTTCCCAGTTCACCGCTCCCTGCGCACTGCCGCCCTGTCCCTCAAGCTGCTCCGCAACCAAGAGGCTGACCAGCAAAGCGCCAGACTGTTCGTGCAGTCTCTGGCTGGACAGCTGCCCCGCCTGCTGGGGCTGCCCACTGCCACGGAGGTGGACCTGTCGCTGCAGAACTTCTCTTCCACCTTCTGCTCTGGACTGCAGGCTGGTGAGTGAGGGGAGAAGGGAGGGAGGTTAGATTTACTGCAGTGGAGTGATTCCTGTTCTGCGATCTGCACGGGTTTGCTACTCAAACACACACATATTTGCTCAGGGAGGAGATGGTTCTTCCTGTTTAAGTAAATATATTACACTGCAGGCATGCGCTGGGAATATCAGAGTGCAAAGACAAGAAAAATCTCTACTACTGCAAGAACTCAATGACAAGGAGACATGCTAAAAATCAGTTGTTTAAAGAATAACATCTATTGTTTCTTTTTTTCTACTGTAGATGATCTAAATGCTGAGGTTCTCAACATTTTTGTGGTCATGGTTAAATTACATTTTCCAAAGGCTCCTTCCCAGTCCTAACACACCTTTAGTTGGTCTGATTAATA